GGTGCCCATATATACTGTATCTAATTGCTTATCAGCAGTCAGTCTTCAAAAGCAGCCTTCGAAGGCTGCGTCCCTTCAAATGGGACAAAGCTCAAGTTGGGAGACGATGTTTGTGAATTTATGGACCTTGTCAGGTGATGAGACAGCGCTCCACTAGCCGAGCAGACGGATGGGACGTCTGAGAATCTTTTCTACTTGTATAGAAGCAAAGCTAGTATAGGTAGAAGTACGATCATTCAAAGTTCAAAGTGTTTATTTTGTCATATGAACAGTTAGGAAACATGTTTCTCTGTACAATGAAATTCTTACTTTGCCGTCCACATGAATGCCACAAAATACAAATGAAATATAAAGTAGATAAATAAGTAACACAAAATCTAAGGCACTTTAAGCAGCGCAGATGCAGCAATATAGTAGAAAAAAATATATCAGAATGTAAGCTGCATGGGAGCAGCATGTGCAGCAGTCAACAGTCATTGTGCAATTATGCATGTGCAAACAGAATGTAAACAGTACATCACATATTTCCTGGTAATAATCATACAAAGTTGTTGTCAGTCTGCACAAAATCTTTACACTTGTCATACCCAGAGTTATGAAGTGTTTTCAGTGCTGCACAAACAGTAGCAGTATAGTTTCACAGGGACCTCGGTGGGAGAATTAGTTGCCTTGTTCATGCTCAGCAGCTGTGTTCTGGTTTTTGTGATGATTGCTACATATATATATCATACTCATCATGCTGCATATCTGATGCCTTTCATCATCTCTGAAGGCAGTCATGCAGAATAGTTATCAGTGAACTGTAGTTGCCTCTGTTGCAGACTTGTTTACTGTAGAGCATATAATAGGTGTTTCCTCCTAATTTGACCTGAGCTCGGCAAAACACACACACACACACCTGTAGACACAACACTAGGAATGCAGTAGTCTGAAATCTTGCTCAGCAGCCCATTGGTCCTAAGTTAAATATCACAAGAAGTGAAATGATGCTTGGGGGTAATTTGCCACAATACCAAACTAACAATAGGCCAAGACTTGTGTCAAAGGAAGCTTTTAAGAAATTAAATGCCTTACTTAAAGGCACAGCAACCCCCATTAACATTTTGCCAATCTGTACCTGAACTACAGTAACCTCTGTGGCTTGCCCTGTAGTAATCCTTTGCCGGGACCCAGCAATAAACACCAGTCAAGTCAGCCCTATTGTTTGCATTGGGAAGGTAGCTAACTATCAGCGCTCGGTCACATGATGCCTGCTGGGCCTGACACAATAGAGCTCAGTGTTTGTGTTTGTGTGTACGTTGGAGGGAATTGGATGTTTAACACCATATCAAAGCACTGTTTGTTATGCCTGAGGCTGGTCGGCTATGGAGCGTTGTTGTTGTGGTCTGGCTTTATCAGGGGTGGTGTAGACTCACTTTGTGTACCTTGCAGCTGCTTTTGCTGCCACCGACACAGCTTCGAAGCACTGTGAACACGTGCATGTTGTGGTACGCTAATGTGTGCATGTTCTCCCAGCAGGTGTGTGCTGCTCATTCAGAAATCCAGTTTTAAATCCCATGACATGGCACAGGAAGCATGAGCTGTAGTTTGTTCCAGTGTCCCCTGTAATTCCCATGAGGCACCTCAGCAAGATGTTTTCTATATAAACAAAACACACTGGGTTTATATACACCTAATAACGGGGTGATTTGCAATTTCCCACCCTTCAAAACAAAGCCCTTACATACAGTGAACAAAAAAAATAGTGCTTCCAACATAAGATAATGAGAGCAGTGAAATAATAACAGCACTGGCTCGGGTGTGGCTTAGTACAAGAAGTCAAAATGCACAGTAGCTTCAGGTCAAGTGAGGCCGATAGAGTCTACATACAGACATTGTTGCTTTAACTCTAATCTATAAGTGATTGGGGAGAATACATAAAATTAAGTATAATTTTTGTTTAATACTTTGTCAGGAGACATCTGACTGGCAAAGTCTAGATGTCTCCAGGCAAATAAACAGGTTCACAGCTAGTCAACAACATTGACCAACAGCAAGCTGCCCAACTGGTTTGCAACAGCCTGAAGCAGGCTGGTGCCTGTAAAGTCTTAAAGCTTCTTTGCTATAGGTCATCTCAAGGAAGGATCTTTGTGCAGTAGGTTACTTTAGTTCAGCATTCTTCATGATGTAAGGAGTGAGTCAGGGTGTTGCTGCTTTTGACAGCTTGAATCCTGTTGCTAAAAGGAAAGAATTCCTCACATCTTCTAGTCAAAACAATGGAAAGAACCCACTATGGCTTTTTTTTTTAAGCCGTTTTCCTTGGCCACACCAGAACTGAGTGTTCTCTTTTAATCATTCAGCCCAAGCAATAACAGTTGCTTTTGACCGCCATATTAATCTTTGAAACATTTATCCAAAAGACACTTCAGAAACCCACTTATAGAAATCCCCTGTCTCAGGCAAAACAAGGTCAGTGGTTACTTGGCTTGAAATGGGCACACTGCATGATTGTGTGGTTATTGATTCACATCACAGATTGGTCTGGCAGATACAGTACAACAACAGCTATCCACTGAGTCACCAGGTTAAACGTCCTGTTGCTTCCCACACTGCAGAAAACAGCCATTTAGCCCTGTAACTTCTTGATCTCCCTCAACTTCTGCTTTCAGAGCCTCTAGTGAGTTCACATTTAGGGAAGTTGTGTAAGTGTGTTTTGAGGAAATTCAAAAATAGAGTAACTACTGAACACACACGCCTGCTGTCGGTGATGAAATTCTAGCCTCTCAGTGACGGCCTGCTTTGGCCCGTGTTTGCTCCTCAACCATCACACACAGAAGTTAACTGTACAATGAATCTAGACATTGCTTGCATTAAGAAAATATTTGTCATAGGGCACACAGAGATAGAAACCGCTCCTTATTTATGTAAAGAAATATTTTGGTGTAATTCAGTCCACCAAAGCCCCCCTACTCTACCACAATGCATTTTGACCCAATGTTCTGTTTTGTTCTCCACCAGACATATTTTCTTCATGCATGTGAAGGAGGACCTTCATAATGGTCACCTGCGTATGTGCTCAGAACAAGCAGAGGAGCTGAGTGCGCTGCTGGCACAGGCTGAGTTTGGCGACTACAACCAGAATACAGCCCAGTACTGGTACTCCGAGCTGTGCGGAGAGGAGCCCGGCACTGCCACTACCAACAGGTACAGAACTTTCTGAGGAAACAAACCCAGACTTGTGGAAGAACAGTAAACTTAAATGGTCTACTTGTGAATAAAACGTTTAACTCTTTAGAAATAGTTTGTTTATAAGAACTGACCTGGATTCTTTTGTTCTCTGTTCATATAGAAAACAAAATGTTGTCTTAGACAGTTGCAAAGACTCTTGTATATTTTGGAGCATTTTTGTATATTGCTCTTTCCATTAAACCAGAATAACTTCAGATAAGAGCGCATGATGCACAGCTACAGTTTAGCCTGCTTGACGGGTAACGTGTTGATCAGCCAGTAACTGGCAGGAAATGAGATTAGAACCTCCCACTGTTCATGTGAAATGTTTTCTCTGTATACAAAAAGAGCATAACAAAGTTTAACTACAACAAGGTTTTAGGCCACGCTTTCCCACCCACAAGTCATGGGAATTACCCAACAACTACTGCAGTGTCTCAGTTTTGTAGCTAGTCTTTGGACCACCACCTTGAGCCATTTGCTGCAGGCCTACTACTCTTTTTTTTCAAATGTTCAGCCTCTTAAATTGTACCTTATCAAGCCCAGTCTCCTAAACCTGCTAGATTAAACATGTATATCCATGTATTGTATTGGTACAGCAGGCACAGCTGTTCACTGCTATACCCACACTCAACCCCAGCCTGGTCCCTATGCAGGTGCATGCATTTCCCAGCACCTATTTTCTCTTAACCATGAATCAGTTAGGTGTACAGTACAGATGCCATTATGCATTTCCTGTCACAGTTTATAAGAATTAGGAGGGAGGCTTCACTGGCATTTATCCTCCTTGTGTACTACATCTGCCACAACGGATGTTTTGGTTTTTAGATAAACTGTTTGTTCATTCCATTTCTTCCACACCTTATTCCTCCTGTAGTATCATATCCAGACATAAAGCTCTGGAAGGTTTGAGCCAGGGCTCCGTGGAATATCAGGCCCTGCAGCTGGTCTCCTCTCTCGAACACTATGGCGTGGAGTGGCACTGGGCTCGTGATGCAACTGGTCAACGGTTGGCCATAGGAGTCGGCCCTGAGGGCGTAGCCATTTGCAAGGAAGACTTCAGCTTAGTCAACAGGTATGTTCTGCTTAGATGTACTCATACCTGTCTTTCTTTAGCACTATTCAGTCGGTAACCATGTCATCACTCTGTTTTGTTTTAGTATAAGCTATCCCATCATCCAGATTGCCACCCAGTCAGGGAAGAATGTGCACCTGACGGTTACCAAGGACACACATGACAGTGTGGTGCTCTTGTTCAAGCTAATCAGTAACCGGGCAGCCAGCGGTCTGTACCGGGCCATCACAGAGACCCATGCCTTCTACAGGTAAGAGCTAAAGGCTTACAGTGGCTGAAACAGACGGGTACCGCAACCGTTTAGTCACTTTTTAACAGCAGGCAATTTAAGCCATCTAATAAATTCTCACTGCTCCACAAAGTCAGTGCAGACAACAATTAACTTTTAAGCTCTGCCGCTCAGTTCAGTCCTTTTTTTTTTTTCCTACAAGTTTCTTTCAGCAGTCTTGGCTACAGCGGTCAGTCATCACACCAATCGGACCTGCTTTAAACACACCCACTCACCGCTTGAGCTTGTTATGATCACATGGAGCAGTTTACTGGTTAAAGACACAGTAGATTGAGGGAGTTAAAGAACAACCTGACCTAAATGAGTTCTCTGAAGACTTGTTCTGCTCTACTTGGCAAGCAGTGCTTACTGAGTGTGCATTTGTACACATTGACTAGTGGTCCTGTTCCCTTATTACCCTTTTCTAAATGCACGCAAAGTGGGACATAACCACATAAAACATGTCCTTGATAGAATGATGGAACCATGGATAGCACATTGTTCTTGGTCAGTCACAATTGTACAAAAGACAGGATTGTCCTTTTGTTTAAGGGATGGGGCTTAGCTCAGAGTATTTATTTATTGCAGGCATGTTTTCGCCCTTCTTGCTCAGAATCAAGTGTTCAATGTTTATCTCAGTGGTGAATGTTGCATCAGAACAGTGTGAACATTAGGTGTTTAAATAAATAGCAAAGGGAAATCCTAAATAAAGACATATTTTTCCAGAACATTGAGCGCTACAGACACAAGGCAGATTTGTCTTGCAAAAATCAAAGGCAGATGTAATTGATTTAAAAACTGGATGTCAAGTCAAATGTATGAATACTAATAATAGTAATGTCTTATTTGCATTTCCAGATGTGACACAGTTACAAATGCAGTGATGATGCAGTACAGTAGGGACTTTAAGGGCCACCTGGCTTCACTCTTCCTCAACGAAAACATCAACCTTGGCAAGAAATACATTTTTGACATCCGACGTACAGCTAAGGAAGTGTATGACCATGCCCGCCGTGCGCTCTACAACTCTGGCGTCGTGGACATGGTGTCTCACTCTGGCAGCGGGCAGCGCTCCTCTCCTACCCGGTCCCCAAGCACAGATGACCAGCAGGATGAGGGACTGGACTGCAGCAGCTGCCAGCAGAGCCGGGCCCTGCACGAGCGGCTGCAGAAGCTCAGGGAGGCTCTGTTGTGCATGCTGTGCTGCGAGGAGGAGATAGATGCCGCATTCTGCCCCTGCGGTCACATGGTGTGCTGCCAGTCCTGTGGAAATCAGCTTCAGGTTAGATTCTTCTCCACAGCTGAGATTTTTCTATGGCACTTTCTTTGTATGCACTGAGAAATGACAGTGCTGATGTCTTAGAAGTAGTACTTTTGTAAAAGTGAATTTGAAAATAAGGCAAGAGCCTGAAAAGTTTTGTTCGGTCACTAAAGCTTACTTGGAGTTCGTACCTATAATAAAAGCTAGGAATGACACTCTGTCCGTGGTGTTAGTGTTTATATTATTGTTTATAGTTTTTTTATGTGTTGTTTTTATATTTGTTTGATATGTTAAGTGCTTTGGTCAGCTGTGCTGTGGTAAAGCGCTATATAAATAAAGTTGAGTTGAGTCATTCTTAGGTTTATATTGTCATTTAAAAATTCTAGAATATGTCTATGCCCTTGTAAAATCATTAGTTTCCTCAGAGAGCCAGCAGTACCAGACCCTCTCTTCCCCTCGGTGTTACCCCTAGAAAGGTTTTCAGGCACAGTGGCAATAGGATGATAGGGATTTTGTGTGCATGCACCCAAATTTTTGGTTATGTCACGTGTGTTGCACGAGACCTTTTGTGGTAATTTCCATGTAAACTTTACCCCAAATGGGCATCTCTCCTGTATGTCTCACACACACCGGCTGTTTATGTTGACGGCATATACGACGTTCCTAAGAATCAAGATTATATCAGTTATGAAAGACAATGTACTTGTGCTATTTTCATAATTATTGATTATCAAAAATTCAGTTATAACAACGATGTAAGCTTAACACATTTCCATTTAAAACTTTGTTTTAAATTGATGAGGTCAACAAATTGGAACTTGGCTAACTTACATCTGACCCATAACTTGTATACCTGCATCACCGGAGCTGATACATATTCTCTTCGGTTACACCTTTGAGATTTGTTTGTGATGAGCTCTTGCTTTTAGTTTATAATAAAGATTTCACCTAAGATTCCTTGGATATGCATGCCAAAATATACTGCCAAAGAGTAATGGGTCACTAAATAATTTACAGTATAATACATTAGTTGGACCGGTTTGGCTCAAACACGAGTTTTCCTTTTATTACATCCAGTTCTATTAATGAGCCAACATGCAGATGTCAAATACGTGGGGCTTAATAGTTTTCTTTCCTGTCCCTTCAGTTGTGTCCTGTGTGTCGGTCGGAGGTAGAGCA